TGCACCCCTAAACCCCAAAACCCCAAAAACCAAACACCCTACACCCCTAAACCCTTAAGCCTGAGCCCTTCAAAGAAAGCCATCACACTGCCCACAGGGATTGGCCGACCACAATGCAACCGAGGAGGCACTCCGCATCCCGCTGATGTTCGGTTTTGTTGGGATATAGGGTTTAGGGTTTAGGGTTTAGGGTTTAGGGTTTAGGGTTTAGGGTTTAGGGCAGCTGAACCTTCAGCCCTGGAACCCAAAACCTCTTAAAGCCTCAACACCGCCTCCAAGACCTTGCAAAGAAAAGTCCCCCCCCCCCCCCTCTCCTCTAGCAACAGCTCCAGCACACTCGGGGCTTTTGGATCTGTGTTTTTTATGAAGGACCCCCTGGTATCCTGGTATAGATCAAGGTGTACAATTCAATTAAGGACGGGCCAGCTTGGCTACTAAGAACCACCCCAAAAACACACAAAACATTCTTCCTTGTAAGAGCAATAAAATAATGATTATGACTCGCTTTTTTGGAGGTTCTCTAAACCCTAAACCCCAAACCCTCAACCCTAAACCCTCAACCCTATAAGCAAGTAGTAGATCAAGGCAGGGGGCCTCGTTAGGGCTTCGCCTGCGGATTGTGGCTCCTGGAAAAACCCGAAGGTGAACGAAATGGAGCTTTGGAGTGAGGTTTAGGGTTTGGGGTCTAGGGTTGAGGGTTGAGGGTTTAGGGTTGCCCAGGAGCCATAATATTGGGGGATGTCGTTGTCGGAGACTTGGGTTAGCCCCGAAACGGATGACCCTACAAAATTCTCGAGACCCTGCGCCCGGAAAAGCAAGCTTTAAACTTTAAGCGCAGCCTACACCCTAAAGCCTAAACCCTAAACCCCAACCGCCCTTTTTTTCTGTTTGTGTACGTATAGACCTGAAAAGTAAAAAAGCCCGAAAACGGCAAAGCCTTGAACGTCATAAAGACTTAAACCTCTTAAACCCTTAACGGCTAAGACCTGAAAGCCCAAAAGCCCTAAAACCCGAAACCCTAGAAACCGAAGCCTCAACAGCCTCAACCCTAAACCCTAAACGGTCCACAAAATCCCAAACCACGAAACCCTAAACCATCCTAAACCCCAAACCCCAAACCCCAAACCCTATACCCTAAACCCTAAACCCCAAACCCCAAACCCTAAACCCTAAACCCTAAACCCTAAACCCTAAACCCTAACCCTAGACCCTAAACCCTAAACCCTAAACCCTAAACCCTAAACCCTAAACCCTAAACCCTAAACCCGACCTAAGCCCCAAACAACCTCAACCCTAAAACCAGGGCTCTTCCCTGGTCGACCTCTCGCTGTCTGACTCGGCTACAGAGGCTTGCCTTCAGGGTTTAAGGTTTAGGGTTTAGGGTTTAGGGTTTAGGGTTTAGGGTTTAGGGTTTAGGGTTTAGGGTTTAGGGCTAGGGTTTAGGGCTTAGGGCTTAGGGCTTAGGGCTTAGGGCTTAGGGCTTAGGGCTTAGGGCTCAGGGGACTGAGTAAGAAGGGCTTGGGGTTCAAGGCAGGTACTTCGGAGAGCCCACTCCGAAATTCCAAGCGAGACCCAGCTAGGGTTTGGGCTTTGGGGTTTGCGTTTGGGGGGTTTAGGGTTTAGGGTTTAGGGTTTAGGGTTTAGGGCTTCTTGGGTTTAGCGGTGGGTTCACCATAGTGCAGACCATTGGGTGGAGTCCCGAAGCTCTCAAGGTGCAGGGTTGAGTTTGTACAGGGTTCAGGGTTCAGGGTTTAGGGTTTAGGGTTTAGGGTTTTGGGTTTAGGGTTTAGGGTTTAGGGTTTAGGGCTTGTTGGCTTTGGGGTTTGGGGTTTAGGGTTTAGGGCACGCCCTGATCCTTGGACCCTCAGGGTTTCGGGTTTTAGGGTTTAGGGGTTTCAGGGTTTGGTTTGAGGATTTTAGGGTTGTAGGGTTTAGTGTTTTAGGGTTGTAGGGTTTAGGGTTTTAGGGTTTGGTTTGAGGATTTTAGGGTTGTAGGGTTTAGTGTTTTAGGGTTTTAGGGAAAAGGGTAAGCAACGCACAGCCGCCAGAACCTCGGTCTAGAAGCCGTGCAGGAGGAGCCAGCTTCGACCTCCTCCCAGAGGCCATTAGGGTTTAGGGTTTAGGGTTGAGGGTTCAGGGGTGAAGGGGGTTGGGGATGCTGAAATATACCCCTAGGGTCCTCAAGTGCCTAAGCGTTTTTTCTTGTTAGGGTTTAAGGTTCAGTTTTCAGTGTTTTAGGGCTTACGTGCTTTTTTTGCGCAATACTTCTTTATAGTGACTCTGGGTTGCGAAGTGTATATGGTTTAGGTACGGGAGTTGGGGAGTGTCCTTGCAAGGTTGGGGTTCAGGATGGGTGTAGGCTTCAGTTCTATAGGATCTAGAGCTTGCACGAAAAAGGCTTAGAGGGTCAAGGGATAGGGCTCGCCGAGCTGAAAAAGGCAGGGTGGAAGTTGGGTTATAAGCACCCTAAGAAGCCTAAGTTCTGAACCCCAAAACCTGAACCCTAAACCCTTGAAGCCACGCTGTCGTTAAGCAGGGACGAAGTTCCTGAGGCTCTGAAGCGAGGCTTCATGTGGTTTGGTTTTGCTGCTTTCTCGGGCTCTTAGTACCGAAGCCCCAAACCCTAAACCCTAAACCAAGCCCGGAGGCTCGAGAATAAGGGAACACTCCGCAGTTAAGGGACATGAGGTTTCTGGGTTTAACACCCTTACCCAGACCCCGGGGAGGATCCAAAAAGTAAGGGCTCCGAAGAATGACCCGATGTTTGTGCAGGGTACGATTTCCTCCCAGGGGTCTGGGCAGCCCTAGAAGCCCTAAACTCAAACCCTAAACCCTAAACCCTAAACCCTAAACCCTAAACCTTAAACACCCTACACCCTACACCCTAAACCCTCTAAACTCCCTTTCGTTCCAGGCGCCATGCGGCACAGACCCCTCCACGGACGCCAGAGGCTGCTGAGCAGGTGCTTCAACTGATGGCTCAGAGTTAGTAGGGCTTCTTCGAGTTTGGGGTCCAGGGTTTCGGGATTCGGGTGTGGGGTTCGGAGTTTAGAGTTTGGAGTTTAGGGTTTAGGGTTCAGGGCTACTGATGGCTCAGAGTTAGTGCATCATGGGGCTTCTTAAGGGAGCGCAGCCGTTAACAGGGGTGGCTTAGGGGTTAATGATACTGCCTGCACCCTTACACCCCGAAACCCCTGAACCCCGAACCCGAAACCACGAAACTCCGAAATCCCAAATCTAAGACGCCCCAAACCCCCAAACCCTAAACGCCTAAACCCTAACCCCCTAAACCCTAAACCCTAAACCCTAAACCCTAGACCTCTAAACCCCAAACCCGAAAACCAATCTTGGGCGAAGTGTAGGATTTTGGGGGGGTTGAGGATCTTCTGAAGTTTGCGGCTGGGGGGTGTCGGGAGGCAGAGTTCAGGCGCTTTGGGGCTTAGGCTCTTGAAGGGCTTGGGCTTAAGATTTAGGGTTTAGGGTTTAAACCCTAAACCCTAAACCCTAAACCCTAAACCCTAAACCCTAAATTTGGGGTTCGCCGTAGGGGTGTTTATTTACGCTTTACGTTTTAGGGTTCCGGACCCGGAAGGCATCGCTGCGGTTGATGTGGTCACATTGTAAAAGCTCGGTGTGCCGCAATCCCTAAGTAGCCCTAAACCCTAAACCCTAAACCCTAAACCCTAAACCCTCTTTTAAAGCCCGCCGAAAAATGTTGCATTCCTTCAGGGCCCCCGGGCCTGGAGTTTCAGTTTTAGGGCTGTAAGGGGTTTAATTGCTTAGATGTCTTGGGTGGTTGTGGAAGGCTGTTTGCACGGCCTTTGAGACATCTTTCTTGTGTCTAAGTAAGTCTTTCTATACGTGCGTTGGGGTTCATATTGTAATCCTGACGTTGAGTTTGGGAACTACCAATTCGCATGGGCCCGGCCTCAGAACCCCTAAACCCTAAACCCTAAACCCTAAACCCTAAACCCTAAACCCCCCCAAAAACCCCCCAAACCCCCCTAAACCCCCCTCAAAACCCCCAAAACCCTAAACCCTAAACCCTAAACCCCCCAAAACCCCCTAAACCCCCCAAAACCCCCCAAAACCCCCCAAAACGCCCCAAAACGCCCCAAAGGCGCTGCGCGCCAGCGACGGCGAGGATCGGCTCCTTGCCGCCCGGCAGCGGCAGTGCCAACGGGACCTGGAGCTCCTCGGCACGAGGGGGGGGGGGGGTTAGGGTTTAGGGTTTGAGGGTTTTAGGGTTTAGGGTTTAGGGTTTAGGCTTTAGGGCTTTCGGGCTTTCGGGCTTTCAGGCTTTCGGGTTTAGGTTTAGGGTTTAGGGTGTAGGGTTTAGGGGGGTTCTGGGGTTGAGGGCTTAGGGTATAGGGTTTCGGGTTTGGGGTAGTTGGAGGACGTTGGGGGAGGTCTTCGGGACACACCACACCCCCCACTAAACGAAGGGAAGCACCGGTGGTTTGTTTAGGGTGTGGGTCTTAGGGTTGAGGCGGATATCCACATAAGTTGGTTTAGGACCTACGTAGTCCTACGCAAAACTCCCTAATCAAGACCTATATAGGCCTATAGACTTGAAAATGAGAAAAACCACCCGTAGTAGGTAACCATAAACCCTAAATCCTAAGCCTCCTGAAGACCCTAAACTCTAAGTCTTCAAGCTTATGGTTCGGAGTATTTAGCGATGGGGTTGAGGGTGGGGGTGGGGGGGTAGCAGCTAAGGGCTCAACTGAAGTTTCCAACTCTCCACACTTAAGACCTTGCAGAAGTCAGAACATATACCGAAAAACCGCCTAAAGCCAACATCAAAACCCAGGCAAAAAAAACAAACAACCAAAACATATTAGACCAAACCTGATGTCAGGTTTGCCCTTTAACTGGGGGGGAACCCGGGCCCTAAACCCTAAACCCTAAACCCTAAACCCCCTAAACCTTACACCCTAAACCCCAAACCCCAAACCCCCAGGCGGGAGTTGCAGCAGAAGCGCGCCGAACTTCGCGCCATGGAGACTCGGCTAGGCAAACGCACGGCGCAGGTTTGTTTCAGGGGACATTAACCAGGCCCCAAGCCCTAAACCCTAAATCCTGAACCCTAAACCCTAAACCCTAAAACTTCTCTTTCAATTTTACACGTCTATGTCTAGGTCTTGGGGTATACATAGATACCTGGTGCCAAATTCCCCGCCATGTTGCTTCCATTACGTAGCACAAGCTTTTGGGATACTTTATGTTTCCCTTGTTGGGTTTCAGAGGATTATATTTCGGAATAATTGTCAGAGGGGTTTAATGGCCATCCTGGCAGCAGAGCCTGCCAACGTTTCGGTGAGTACTCGACAATACCCCAACAGAGGCTAGAAGGGGTGGCGGACGCGTTTTGGGTTCAGGGGTTAGGGTTTTGGGTTTAGGGTTTAGGGACTAGGGCCTTAGGGCTCAGTACTGCTTCGTGGTCTTCCCTCTTCGAGAATCGATAGTCAGATTCCGTAACTTTTGACCGTCCTTGCGTCGATGAGCTGCGCGAATTTCGCAAACCCTGAGCCTTTTGTAGGGCAAAGGTCTTTGTCGGAGTCTTCTCTAGGGCTTAAGGGCTTAAGGGCTTAAGGTTTAGGGTCCTCTAGGGCTTAGGTTTGCTGTTTTTTCTCTATTCTTTAGGGCGCTTATGGGTTTTTAGGTTTGTTTGTTGGGCCTCTGCTCACCCCTACATTTTGGGATCGTTTGAAGTATATTTTACAGGTGGCCCTAATCCCCATGTAGCTCTTCGTAGGCAGCAGACGCTTAGTTTTGAGAACCCTAAACTGCCCTAAACCCTAAACCCTAAACCCTAAGCCCTAAGCCCTAAGCCCTAAGCCCTAAACCCTAAACCCTAAACCTTAAATGGCCTCCAAAGCCAGCCACAAGTTTCCTGCCGACCGAGGAAGAGAGGCTGCAAAGACAGCTGCTTGCACGAATGTAATTTGTAGGTTTAGGGGCAGTCTAGGGTTTAGGGTTTAGGGTTTAGGATTTAGGATTTAGGATTTAGGATTTAGGATTTAGGGTTTAGGGTTTCTGGAGGTTCGGGGTCGGAAATGTCGGCCAAAGCCTTACAGCGCAGCAAAACTTGCAAATGTCTTTCCTTTTCTCGGTACCGATTCTTCCTGACATAAACCCTAAACTGCCCCTAAACTACAAAGCCACATCACCCAGTAAAAACACACGCGCGCGCACACACACACACACACACACCAGAGCTAGGTACGCCCTGAACCGTGAACAGCTTGCATGCTGATATTCCACGGTTCCATTTCAGGCGTCTGACGTGCTTGTGGAGCTTGGATCGGGTTTTCCTGGCACGTCATGCTCTGGTTCCAATTGAGGTGGGTGTAGGGTTGCAGTCAACTCCGCCCCCTCTGGTAAGGGGGAGGGTCGGGCCAATAGTTAGGCAGAGTTTAGGGTGTAGGGATGGCTTCTCAGGTTTTTTAGGTACGAGAAGCGGTTGGGGTGACGTCATGGGGGCGTTGCTATCAACAGCCCGATGTCGATGAACCTAAACCTAAACCCTGAACCCTAAACCCCGAACCCCTAAACGCTAAACCTAAGCCCTAAGGCCCAAACCATAAACCATAAACCCTAAACCCTAAACCCTAAACCCTAATCCCTAAACCCTAAACCCTAAACCCTAAACCCTAAACCCTAAACCCTAAACCCTAAACCCTAAACCCTACCTAACAGTCTAAGCACAGGTCGCCTCTTCACCCCGGCAACGAGGTGATGGAGCCGGTTGCCAGGCCACCGCCAGCGCAGTTGGTGTTGCAGGGTGAGGCTTTATGGAGGGTTTAGGGTTTAGGGTTTAGGGTTTAGGGTTTAGGGTTAGGGGGTTTAGGGGGTTTAGGGGGTTTAGGCCTAATTAAGGGGGTGTAGGGTTTCGGGTTTAGGTTCACGGTTTCGGGTTTCTTAGGGGGTCTAGGGTTTAGTGCGTGTAGGGTTTCGGGTTTAGGGCGCTTAGGGTTCGGGTTTAAGGGGCTTAGAGGGTTTTCCGGCTTAGGGGTGTCGGTTTATAGGGTTTAGGGTGTTTAGAGCGTTTTGAGCTTGAAGCGACCTCAAGGGGAGGCGTTTCCAGGTCACACCCCAAGGGTCCAGGGTCCGATTCAGGGTTTAGGGTTTAGGGTTTTAGGGTTTAGGGTTTAGGGTTCAGGGTTTAGGGTTTAGGGTTTTAGGGTTTGGGGGTGGGGGGGGGGGGTCCCTTCAACGCCAAGGCGGCACCATACAACGAAACTTTTCAAGATCCCCAAGCCCAGATCATGACCATCCACTGCCCCTCCCGGGTTTAGGGTTTAGGGTATAGGGTTTAGGGCAAGCCCTTCTGCTGCCAGCTGATCTGGAGCGAAGGCCGCTGTCCGCCAGCTCCGCCACAGCGCCCGGGGCACAGGCGTTGCAGGGTTTCGCGGGGCATTTTATATGGCCCAGGGTGTGCATTTATGGGGGAGTATAGGGTCTAGGTTTCGGGTTTAGGGTTTAGGGTTTAGGGTTTAGGGTTTAGGGTTAGGGTTGAGGGTTTAGGGTTAGGGCTTAGGGTTGTGGCTGAACCCCAAACCATGAACCCTACACCCTAAACCCTAACCCTGAACTTGGCCCTACACCCTAAGCTCAACCGCAAGAGTGAACCTCGCAAACCTCGAGACCTCATCACCCCCTAAACCCTAAACCCTAAACTTAAGCCTTGAAGCCAAACCCTAAACCCTAAACCCCAAACCCTAAACCCGAAACCCTAAACCCTGACCCTAAACCCTAAACCCTAAACCCTGACCCTAGAACCCCAAACCCTAAACACAGAAGCCCAAAAGCCAGGCCGGCCAGCCCACGCCCACCACGCCACAGCACTACGACTGGCTCCGCGAGCTGCCACAAGGGTCTTCCGGATGCAGCTGATTCTGAGTGCGTGGGGTTTGGGTTTAGGGTTTAGGGTTTAGGGCTTGGGGTTTAGGATTTCGGCGGCTTAGGGTTTAGGGGTAGTTTAGGTGGTTTAGGCGGTTTAGGGTTTTTCGTGTAGGGTTTAGGGTTTCAAGGGTGCAGTTTGTGTTGAAGGCTTTGGGGTTGGGGGTCAGTTTCTCTATGCCTTTGCCCCTCTTAATGTTTCTCATCCCGTAACCCCTACGCCCTAAGTTTTTTTCAACCCTAAACCCGAAATCTCTAACCCTAAACCCTAGACCTCAAACCCTACCCTATAAACCCTCCCTAAAACCCTAAACCCCTAAACCCCTTAACCCCTTAAACCCTAAACCCCACTCCCAGGCAGCTGGCAGACATCCGTCGCCGTGGCCTTGGATCTTACGGTTTCAGGTTGCAGCAGCCGTGCAGTTGGGGGGTTTAGGGGTTTAGGGTTTAGGGTTTAGGGTGTAGGGTTTAGGGGTGTAGGGCCCGCCGTTTACACCTGGGAAGCCTTCCCTAAACCCCAATGTTCGAGCCGCAGCCCTCGACATGTTTGTGTATCTTGAGCCTGGGGTCGGTGAAGCCGCCCTAAACCCTAAACCCTAATCCCTAAACCCTAAACCCTCAACCCTCAACCCTCAACCCTAAACCCTGAACCCTGAACCCTGAACCCTGAACCGCAACCCTAAAGACAAAGCACATCGTGAACTCTGACCTGGTCCGCAACCTTGGTAGCGCAGTGTGGTGCCCTTTTTTCACTTTTGTTGGTTCGAAGTTCCCTTATAAAGTTACCAACTCAAAAAAAGGTGCCCTTATTGTAATATGATTACTGGGCACCCAAGCAACCCGTGCATGTCAAGCAACACAGTTGTCGCAAGCTTCGCAGGAACAGGGTGTGTGTGTGTGACACGAACAAGTGATCATGCCCGTGTATTTTAACAATAAATATGCTTTCCTGCCATGTCGAGACAGGGCATGCGTTCGTGTCGGCACGAAGTTTGGCAAAGTGTCGAAGAAAATGCATTACCGCTCGGCGACTTATGTGTTGTCGACTTTCTCTGGAAGTGACGGCTTATTGTTTGAGATTGCATCTCGCCACAGCACGTGTGCATGTCTCAGGGTTTGCAGTCGGAACTTCTACAGCACAGACCCCAAAGATCTTAAAGCCTAAACCCTAAACCCCAAACCCTAAACCCTAAACCCTAAACCCTAAACCCTAAACCCTCCTGAACCCCAAAAACCCTAAAACCCCTCCACGGAAGGCTGCGACTCGCCCTTGGCAGCTCGGTCGCTCCTGGCGGCCTCTTGCGGTGCGCCGCGGGGGGTTCTGAAGGACCGAGGCTTTGGGCATGCTGGGTTTGGGGGTTTAGGGTTTAGGGTTTAGGGTTTAGGGTTTCGGGCTTAGGGCTTAGGGTTTAGGTTTGGGGGTTTGAGGGTTTAGGGCTTAGGTTTAGGTTTGGGGGGTTTGAGGGTTTGAGGGTTTAGTAGGAGTGGAGTTTAGGAGTTTTGAGGGTCGTGTGCAGTTCGCCGTCTTTGGTGTGGCGCCGAGCAGCTATATGGAACCCCATGCTGAGCCTCCTTATATACTTATCCGACAGACGCAAGTCCGAACCCTTAAACCCTAAACCCGAAACCCTAAACCCTAAACCCTAAACCTTAAACTCTACACCGCCGTACACCGTCCCTGGCTTTAGGAGCTCGGAAGACAGACGAGGGCCACCATGGACAAGGCTTTCGGGCACGAGCCTTTAGACCTTCGTCTTTTGTGGCTGCATACAGGGTTTAGGGTTTAGGGTTTAGGGTTTCTCCTACAAACCCCAAACCCTGCACTCCTGGAAGGACGCTGAAAATTCATGTCGTCTGCGGGGTTAAAGAAGGCCTTTGCAGACTTGATAGCGGTGGAGGGTTCAGGTTGAAAGTTTAGGGTTCAAGAGTTTCGGGCCCCAATATGATCCCCTAAACCCGCAAAGCCTAGACCCTGAACACTCAGCTTTGCCAGCTAATGAAGGATGCGCGATCTCCTTGCCCTCAGCATCCTGAAATGATCTTAACCCTGAACCCCAAGCCTTGAATGAAAGTCTACGGTCCCTGAGCAGGTGGCGTATGGCAAGCTTTGTGCGATTCCTTTATGATCGAGTTTAAGCATAGTTTAAGCTTTGGGGTTTAGGGCGATGGTGTTCGCAATCCTAAGCCCCCGACTCCCCCCAGACTCGAAACTCTAAGCCTTACACAACCCTTACACGCTCCTAACCCTGAAATCCTGAACCCCAGTGCTTAAACCCTTGAACCGCACACCTCGTACATCTCCCAAAACCTGAAGTCCTGAACCCCAGACCCAAAACCACAGACCTCAAACTCCTCTTGCAGCCCTCAACCGCCTGAAATCATCAGGCAGCAAGCACCTTGCGTCCCTAAACCCTAAACCCTAAACCCTAAACCCTAAACCCTAAACCCCAAACCCTAAACCCTAAACCCTAAACCCTAAACCCTCCTGCGTAGGTCTTCGCCCTAGAGGAGTCCATCCGAAAGGAGCAGGACGAGCACCAGGCACCCCTGGCACCCTAAACCTTAAAACTCTAAAACCCTAAAACTCTAAAACCCTCAAACCCGATAACCCTAAGACCCTAAAACCCTAAACCCTATACACCCTAAACCCTATACACCCTAAACCCTAAACCCTAAACCCTTGACTTAAACCCATTGAGCCCTCCACCCCCCGTTGAGCACAGGCGCCTGCTAAACCATCAGCCTAAAACCCCTAACACTCTAAAATAGAAGCCTTAAACGCCCGAAAGGCCCTAAGAAAAAAAAACAAAAACAAAACAAAAACCCTAAAAATGCCCAACCAAACCCTGAAAACCTAAAGAACCCTAGAAGCCCTAAACTAAACTAAACTAAGCCTAAAAATCACGGCAGGCGAAGCTCGAGGCGCTGCGCGCCGACCACCGCGTGGAGAAGCGGCGAGGGAAGTTCTTGGGCGGCGCATGGCTTTCGTGTTTAGGGTTTAGGGTTTAGGGAATTGGGTTTAGGGTTTAGGGTTTAGGGGATGTAGGGTCTGCAGGGATTTTGGGGGGATGTAGTACTTATAAGGTTTGGGGAATTACAGGCTTCTGTAGGGTTTCGGGGAAGGCCTGTGTAGGTTGTAGGGGTTTTGGGGATATGGACTTTAACATCCTTGTATTTGGTTTGCCGTTGGGTTTGGGGGATGTATAGCGGTTCGGGGCTTTTTCGTGGATGTAGGATTTGTAAGTTTTTTCGGCGATGTTGAGGCTTATATAAGGTTTAGGGGTCTGGGGGTCTTGGGGATTTAAGGTTCCTAAACCCTAGACTTCATCTTTTAACACGCCTCTTTTTGCTACATAGGGTTTAGGTTCCTAAACCCCAAACTTTAACTTCGAATGTGTAGAATTTCGTTGTCAAACTGATTGAGAAGCTCGCGGATGAAATTCTTCCAGACGAACAGGACAAAGCCGTGTGTACAGGTTCTCCGCCTTAGCTCTAGGAACCCCGAGCCTTAAGCCATAATCACCCCAAACCCTGAAACCCTGAACCATCCGACACCCTCAACCCTAAACCCTGAAACCCTGAAACCCTGAAACCCAAAGCCTCCAAACCCCTGAGGCTGCGGCTCCTGGCCCGTTACGCGCCTCACGGCGCGGCTGCCCGCGAGGCGCTCCGATGCGAGGCCGATGGTGTTGAGTTTAGGGTTTACGGCTTGGGGTTTTGGTTTAGCGATGCTTATACCCCAATACTTCTGGCCTACTTGCTGAGTCCCCTGACCCTTCAAGTATGCTTTGAGCACCAAAGGGGGGTGGGACCCTTGCAACCTAAAACCCTAAACCCTCGTGGAGACGTTTTGGCTTTCAGAGGGGTGGTGTGCTCAGAAGCCTGAAGAGCGTGGACCTAAACCCTAAAACCCGAATCCTAAGCTCTGTGACCCCTAAACTCCCCATCCCCCAAACCAACACAAAGCCTTAAACCCCGGGAGCCCCGGTCCCAGCCACCCCAGCCGAGCGCCAGCTGGCGTCCACTCCTGCCCCTGTGGCCATGGGAGGGGGAGGAGCATGACTCAGGGCCTGCTCTGGGTCCCGATAGCCCTAAAACCTAAACCCTCAGCCCTAAATTCTAAGTAAACCTAAACCCAATCTCCCGAAGTTGAGGGTTCGGGTAGACGGGGCTCAGAGGTTTCCGCTGCAAAACCTGAACCCTCAAGATAAAAAGGTTACCCTTGTTATTCCTAGGTGACTCTGGAGTCGAGACAAGGTTAAGAGAAGTAGAGCCACCCTGATGTCAATTAAGAACTTCCTCAATCCTAAACGGTTGCTACACCCTAAACCCTGAACCCTAAACCCTAAACACGTGAAACACCCTAAACCTTATACCCGAAGCCCCCCCCCCCCCCCGCCCCATGCCCTGTCTACCAGGCTGCACTGCCGCCTGAGTTCCACGAAAGCCACGACCTGAGCATGTAACTTTGGGGGTTTGGAGTCCAGGGTTTGAGATATACTTTTTAGAGTTTAGGGTTTCATGGTTTAGGGTTTAGGGTCCAGAGTTAAAGGTTTAGCGTTTAGTGTGTCCAGGAGTTGCGGGTTTTGCGAATTTCAACTAAGATGTCCAGCAGTACCCTTATGCATGGTTCCTTCTCTCTTGAGCTACCATCGGAACATAGGCATGTATAGAGCCACGACATAAAGCGCAACGGCAAGGTGCGAGCCTCTGATTCTTAACGCAACCTCGTCAGGGCAATCGGGAAGCCCATGAAGTCATGTGCGCTGTTCGTCCATAAACGCACCCTAAACCTTCTGTCAGAGCCTTTACACCCTGAGCCCTAGCTTGAAGGAGCAGGGGCCTTTGTAGGTTGCAGATTTCGGTGTAGGGTTTAGGGTTACAAGCTTGGCTCGGCCCTAGACCCTAAACCCCAGTTCGGTATTTCTTTCGTATGCTTGACAACTCACGTACCTTGAGCTCACTGAAACTCGGGAGTTCCATACGACCTTCACCCAATGGCACTAGACACTTGTCCTAAACCCTAAACCCTAAAGCCTAAACCCTAAACCCAAAGCCCTAACCCAATTAGGTCCATGAAGCCTTCGGGCAAGAAGAACCGCCTTGAAGTGAAGTCATTGTATGCTGTAAGGCTCAGGTCAGGCCCCACTCAGGGTTCCTTTGATCCCGTTCCTCGGGAATGCTCCTTCACTTGTAGGCGTCATTCCTTGACTTGGCGTCTCAGAAGGGTAGGGTACCATGGACCCACCCTAAGCCCGATAGACCCCAAAACCCAAACCCTAAGCCCCTAAACCCGAAACCCTAAACTGCTAAACCCTAAACCCCAAACCCCAAACCCTAAACCCTAAACCCTAAACCCTACAGTAAACTCCAAAAAGTTGGAAACCTTTTTAAGGACAAATAGTGCTGGGATTCCCTATACTTTACTCTTAGGGATTGAGGCTCTTGAGTTTCCAACTTTTTGGCTTCTACTATAAACCCTACCACCGTGAGAGGCGAGCCACCGAGCCGGCGCAGCCATGCGGCGACCAGAACGCCTCCGCGGAGCTGGGAGTGAAGAACAAAGAGACTTGTGGGGTTTAGGGTTTAGGGTTTAGGGTCTAGGGTCTAGGGTTTAGGGTTTAGGGTTCAGGTTTTGGGTTTTAGGTTTTGGGTTTTAGGTCTTAGGGTTTAGGGTTTGGGGTTCTACCTAGCACATTTGCCTAGGGTAATGTCGGAGAATATCAGGCTCCGATTTCCCCTTTTGTTCTTCCAGTAATGCTCAGGAAGTATTGCTTAGCTATGGAATTCCCAACGACAACGGCCGCAGTATTGCCGAAGCGACCTTAAGCTTCGGAGAATCCCCTTGGAGTGAGTCTTTTTTGGACAGATCCCTACCCACACCCACACAGAGAGATCCGAATTCCCTTAAAGCTTACTTAGCCAACTGTTGAAATTTAAGCTCTTTGAGTTTTTTTGTTTTGAATCAGGAAGGTGAGCCTTGCTATTCCTGGGCTAGTGGTTAGGATGCCCAGTAGAACCCTTATTCCCTTTTTGGTAGGTTTAGGTTTACTTATAAACCCCTTTAAGCAAAAAGGGCACCCTTTTTCATCCTAGGTTGCTGGGCAACCTAGGTGGAGAAGTCATTACTTAGAGAGCGCATCTTAATTCCTGGTAGGGGATGCCATGCGGTCTAAGGCTTCTTCCTTCATGAGGACTTGGTAGCTCAGTGGTACCCCTTATGCACCTTTTTTGAACCAGAGTTTTCTTATAAACTAGCCAACCACAAAAAGGCACCTAAACCGTAAACCCGAAACCCGAAACCCCAAACCCGAAACCCCAAACCCTAAACCCTAAACCCTAAACCCTAAACCCCCGACAAGAGCGCTGCTGGAAGGGCGTTTCTGCCATCCGGCTGCTTCCCAAAGGCCCGACCCCGAGTTTGGCGAACGCGGGCTTGGGGCTTCCCGTGGGGTGTGGTCTTGGAGCTTGGGGACTCTTGAGGTTTAGGGTTTAGGGTTTAGGATTTAGGGTTTAGGGTTTGGGGTTTAGAGTTAAGGTTAGTGTTTATGGGTTAAGGCTTAGGGTTCAGGGCTGGTGGGGGGGTTTTAGGGTTTAGGATTGAGTGACTTGAAGGAGGCTGCTGTGGGGATCTTACACAGTGAGTGTCATCCGTCTTGCTGAGCCCCTAATTACCCTTTCTGTGTCCGCTTGTAGGATTCCTTGTTGAATATGGGTAGTGGGCTAGGTAGAAGCAACTTAGGGTACATAGAATGTTACTTGTGACCCACCGCAAAGTTCCCCGACCTAAGCCCTAAACCCTAAAATGGTTCTGAGGATTCTTATGAAGCCCTAAGAGCCCAATTCTAGCCCCCCCCCCCCCCCCTGCCAAGGACGAGCAGGCGAGCACCCCAAATGCAAGGACCCACCACCACCGGCGCTCTCAAAGGGGGTTCTTGGCGGTCTAGAAGGGCTTATGCAGTAGGGTATAAGGTTGAGGGTTTCGGGTGGCGTACTGGGTAGGCGCAGAAGGCACTTAAGGGATGTTTCATATTGCCCTTTCTTGGGTTTAAGAGCATCATGTCGAGGAATCTTGGTTCAGAGAGAATTCGGGGCCACCCAAGAGTAGGATTTAGGGGCGTTACAGGGCTCGGGGGCTTTAGCGGGGGTCCAGCCCTAAGCACACACCCAAGACCCCCAAACCCTGAGCCTAAACCCTGAAACCAAACCCCAAACCTTAAACCCTCAACCCTCAACCCTAAACCCTAAACCCTAAACCTTAAACCGTACACCCTAAACCCTAAACCCTTGTAGGTCACAAAGTCCTTCATTCTGAAGCGAACTCTGAGAGTCCCAGCCTCTCCTCCCAAAGGCTACGCCTCCAGACTCTAATCTCAGGGTTCAGGGTTCGAGTTAAACAGGCCTCTTTCGGGTTTAGGGTTTAGGGTTTAGGGTTTAGGGTTTAGGGTTCGAGTTAAACAGGCCTCTATACTAAGTACAAGCCCAAAAACATCGGGAATATGAGGTGTTTGTGGGAGCCCCTGGCCCATGATAAGGATGATTTTGTTGCCCCCAGCCTTTGGAATAAGGACGGGCTTGTTTACGGCCATGTGTGAAGCATGCACAAAGAGGAAGAGTCACCTCTTCCCTTCGAACATTCTGAGGTTTAGGGTTGAGGGCCCAATTTTGGCGGGCACAGGCAGAAACAGGATCGACTTTCGCAATCACCAAACTCCAAATGTTACGTGGCCCCATACCTACCCCCCCGAGCTGTATTTGTAAATTCATTTTCGGCAGACGGTATGTTTTCATAAGCCAAGTCCTTAAACTCTCAACCTTTAAGCCCTTAACCCCTCAATCCCTAAGTCCTCAACCAGGACAGCCGCCAGTCAGGCCTGGAGGGGGTTAGGGCTTAGGGTTTAGGGTTCAGGGCTTTGTCTTTTTTTGGGTTGAAAGTGACTTAGGGTTTAGGGTTAGAAGTTAGAAGGATTTAGGGTTTCAAGAGTTGAGGGTTTAAAGGGTTTTGGGGTTCTAGGGACCTGCAGATCTTGAAACTAGGCTAGTAGGCCCAAATGGAACACGTGACCCTTCCTTAGGGCAATGCGTAGGGTGCAGAGTTTCGGGTTTAGGGTGAAATCGGTCCTAGAATGAGTAGAATGCAGTGTTTTGGGGGTATATGAATACGAGGTACCCCCTTGCACTTACTGAGTTCCCTGAGCCTTGAAACGGGCAACCACCATTTTGCTTGTTTTTCTTTGTGGGGACGTGGGTGTGGCACATGCCCGGAGTAACGCCTATCCTCTGAACCCAAACCCTAAACCCTAAACCCTAAAACCTAAATCGCAGCTCTAAACCCTAAACCCTAAACCCTAAACCCCAAACCCCAAACCCTAAACCCTAAACCCTAAACCCTAAACCCTGCAGTCCCTTGGCAGTTCCGCGGTGATGTCTCCACTCCGTCCACGCTGGCGAATAGCAGCGGTAGTCCTGAAGAGGAGGTCCGCGAGCCTCTTAGGGTTAAGGGCTTATAGGGGTTTAGGGTTTAGGGTTTAGGGCTTTTAGGGCTTTTAGGGCTTATAGGGCTAATAGGGCCTGAGGTTTAGTGTTGACGGGTTCAGGGTTTAAGGGTTTAAGGGTTTATGATTTCTCGGGGTTTTGGGTTAAGGGTTTAGGGTGTAGCGTTTTAATTAGGGTTCACGGTTCAAGGTTTAAATTTGGGGCGTAGGTGGGCGGGGGGGGGGGGGGGTTGGCATCTCACTTCATTGTGGGATTTCAGGCGGTGGGTGGGGGGGGAGGGGAAACCCTCGGGGGGGGGGGGGGGGGGGGGCAGGGAGATCCAATTTGTTATTAAGGACTGGTAGTAGAGGGGGGAACACCCCGAGTTTGGAGTTGAGAGTTTCAGGGCTTCGGGCTTAGGTGATCATGAGCAGGCCTGTCCAGCTTGCGTATCTGACCAGAGGTTACTTGGAGTTTCATGGTGCTTATTGACCAATTATACCTGTACTTATAACACTTATAAGCCCCTTCTGTGCCCGAATATAGTTATAAGTACAGTCATAAGTACAGTTATAGTGGGTTAGTAAGTACCAACCTCCAAGTACCTCCAGAACAAGGTGTGGGTGAAGTTCCACTTGAGATGTGGTCTGTTCTATGTTTCGTCCCAGCCGCAGCAGAATCTGAGAGATCTGGCTGGGAAAAGCGGACCCATCAGGATCTTATACAGAAAGTTTGGGCGAGGAGCTGCAGCATGGTGGGTGCCAAATCCAAGAGGCCGCTTCGTGGCAAGGCCCAGACACCCCAAGCAGCTTGCCAACTGGCACAAAGGCCCGTGCTGCAACACTTGAGATCACCCCTGTCATGGACACCAATCCCTCAATCCGCGATTGCCTCACCCCCCCCCCCGTTCTCCCCGCCCCAATTCTCAGAGGCCTCAACCCTAAACCCTACATGCTCCCAAGCCCTCAAGTCCTATATACACCACCCCACACCACCCGAAGTCCTTTTTGAATTGAAGCAAATTACCCCGATGCCCCTTCCGCACAAACCCCCGACATAAACTTGCCATTTCTGAATATGGAATCTGGGAAGTTCGGGGGTTAGGGTTTCAGGAATTTGGGCTCAGGGTTTTTGGGGTTTGGTGTTTAGGCTTCCAGGTCTGAAAATCGAGAACTTTGGGAGTTGGGGTTTAGGATTTAGGCTAGGGTATTTAGGGGGGGTTCAGAGTTCTTTAGTTCTTGATAGGAAATTAGGTACCTTAAGGGAATATCTGGGGTAACAAGTAAAGCCCTCAATCCCTAAACCACCCAGAGAACCAAGCGAACCCGAAAGAAAGGATATTATGACCCTAGATTATACCTCTATAGTTCCGATGAGGACATGTGGACCACACGCCCTTTCTGGGTATCCGCCTAACCCTAAACCCCAAGCCCTGAGCCTTTGACCCCAAACCCTAAACCCTACTAAACCCTAAACCCTCCCAACCCTAAACCCCAAACCCTAAACTCTCCAAACCCAAACCCCAAACCCCAAACCCTAAACCCCACCCAAAGCCCGCCAGGACTTTTCCACCACGGTTACTCCTTCGAGCACGGAACGATCCCCGCTCGGGGGCTCGGCATTCGAGAGCCTGAGAACAAGACAATCTAGGACTAAGGTTCAGGGTTTCGGGCGTAGGGCTTAAGATTTAGGGGAGCCTTATAACATAAACCCTAAACCCCAAACCCCAAACCCCAAACCCCAAACCCTAAACCCTAAACCCTAAACCCCAAACCCTAAACCCTAAACCCTAAACCCTAAACCCTAAACCCTAAACCCTAAACCCTAAACCCTAACAAGACAATCATCTCGTTGGGGGGCCCCTTCAGATGCCTTTTTTGAGGTTTTACACTCCGGCCAGGTCTTTTCGGAAGAGTTTAGGGGTTTGGAAGCCCAGTGGTGCCTTGTTGCCCTTTGTGGTTCAAGGTTCCTTACAAAGCAACCAACACCCAAAAACGTACCCTCATTATAATAGCCCAGGAGGGTTTAGGGTTTATAGGAGCCTCTGTTATAATGTGCATCATTTGGGAAGTTGCGAGTAGA